TCAGTACACTGAAGAGGTCTTGTGCAGCAGACTTACCTAGTGCAACACGTCTTTTGCTCTCTTGACTGCTGCTTCCATGAGCATTGATTGCAGATCAAGCAAGACAAAAATCCCTTGACCACTTCAACCTTTTCTCCACACATGATGTTCCCTATTGGTCCAGTTGTGAGGATTTGGTTTTCTTTACAATGAGTAGGAAGCCATACTGAAGGCTGCAAGTACTTCGAGTCCTCTCCCCTTTTAGCAAGCAAGCTTCTCAGGTTGTTAGTGCCTTCCTCCAATATCCTGATGCCACATTCTTCTTCATACAGTCCAGATTCTCGAATGATTTGCTCTGCAAACAGATTGAACAAGTATGGAAATAGGATACAATCCTGATACACACTTTTCCTGACTTTCAGAACCATGCAGAATTCCCTTGTTTGGTCGTACAACTGCTTCTGGTTCATGTACAGGTTCCTTGTGAGCACAGTGAAGTGTTCTGTAATCCCCATTCTTCTCAAAGTATTCCACAGTTTTTATGGCCCACACAGCTGAATGCCTTTGCATAGTCAATAAAACACAAGTAAACATCTTTCTGGTAGTCTCTGCTTTCAGCCAAGATCTATTGAGCATCAGCAGTGATAAACCTTGTTCCCTGTTCTCTTCTGAATCCGGCCTGAACCCTGTCAATGTGCTGCTAAAACCCTTGCTGGATGATCTTCAGCAAAATATTACTTGCGTATAATATCAATGATATTGTTCTATAGTTTAAGCATTCTGTTGAGTCACCTTTTTTTGGAATGGGTACGAATATGGATCTCTTCCAGTTAGTTGGCCAAGTTGCTATCTTTCAAGTTTCCTGGCGTAGATGAGTCATCAGCTTGTTGAAACATTTCAATTGGCTTCCCATCAATTCCTGGAGCCTTGTTTGCAGCTGCTGCATTCAGTGCAATTGAGCTTCTTCCTTCAGCACCATTGATTCTTGCGCATGCAATACCTTCTGAAACGGTGGAATGTCAACTAGTTCTTTTTGGTACAGTGATTTTGTGTATTCTTTCCATCTTCTCTTGATGCTTCCTGCATCATTTAACATTTTGCCCATAGAATCTTAAAACATTGCAACTCGAGGCTTGAATTTTTTCTTGAGTTCTTTCCATTCAGATATGGTGAGTGTGTTCTTCTCTTTTGACTTCTACTTTTAGGTCTTTGCACATTTCGTTATAATATTTAGCTGTGTTTCCTGAGCTGCCAGTTGAAATTTTCTGTTCAACTCATTGAATTCATCTTTTCTTCCATTTGCTTTAGCTACTCAGTGATTTAGAACAAGTTTCAGTCTCTTCTGACATCCACTTTGATTTTTTTCTTTCTTATTTTTTTAATGACATTTTGCTTCATAAATGATTGTCTTGATGTCCTCCCACAGGTCATCAGATCTTCTGTCATTTGTGTTCCATGTGTCAATTCTGCCTTGAGATGTTTTCGAAATTCAGGTGGGATTTACTCAAGGTGGCATTTTGGCTCTTGCAGACTTGTTTTAATTTTCTTCAGCGTATCATGAACTTACATGTGAACAATTGATGGTCTGTTCCATATTCGGCCCCTGGCCTGGTGTTACCTGCTGATATCGAGCTCCAGCGTCTCTTTTCACAGATGTAGTCAAGTCGGTTTCTGTGCATTCCATCTGGAGAAGTTCATGTGTATAGTCACCTGAGCACAGGTATTTGCTATGAACAAGTTGTTGGTTTTGCAAAATTCTGTCATGCGGTTTCCAGCTTCATTTCTATCACCAGGTCTATAGTTTCCAACTGCGATTCCTTCCTCTTTGTTTCCTGCTTTTGCATTCCAGTCTCCAATAACTATCAGTGCATCTTGATTGTATGTTTGATCAATTTCCAACTGAAGTTATTGGTAAAATTCTTCAATTTCTTCATCAGTAGCTTTTGTGCTTCGTGTATAACTTTGAATAATAGTTGTATTAATTAGATTTCCTTGAAGGGTGATAGATATAATCCTGTCACAGACAGCATTGTACTTCATGATTGATTTTGTGTGAAGGAGTTTTATATTAGATGGCAAGTCTTGTTTAAAGGGAGTATGTCTGGCATGTATCAATTATAATGCTTTATGAATGACTGGTATCCAATAAGATGTTTATTGATGTGCCAAAGAACAACCGGTGTCCAAAGGGTTGTCCTTATAAAATCACAGATTTTTCCAGAAGTCTATTAGCCCCCTAAATTTACTTTGGGGTTCATTAAAACAATGGCATGTTCCTTGTCTTCATAGTTCTTCACAGTCATGCACAGTGGAATCAAGGTAGACTTTACAGGCTTCCCTTTCTGTAAACATGACAACTCCTTTCAACTTCAGGCCACTCTGCTCTTACTGGAGAACATGTGCTCTTTCCTTCATTGTATGGATAGTGTGCTTTTTGGTCAGCCTCTGGTTAGCCACAGAATAAGGGGTTGATGCTATACAAACTGGGCTGTGGGTTTTTCTTTTTCTCTCTTTCACCTTGTATGTAGATCATTAGAATTCATGAAAAAGTAGATACCCGCCCCCCCAAAAAAAACAAAGCACCTCTTTTCCAGAATATGCCAGGAATAAGCATTTATTTTTTAAAAAGCAAAGAACAAACAAAAACGAACTGGGGTTCAAGATGAATACCAAGAAACAAAACACTTAAAACTATGTCCTCTTTTGACAGCGATCACTATGAACTAGTCGTTGCAAAGAAACCTTTTTTAATGTGTGCATCTGATGAAGTATCCACAAAGGGATACAACTGCTTAGAATGAACTACATGCATATCCTTGTAGAGAGTAATTCTAGCGTTGCATGTTGCTTGCTGAGACTGATCAAGCTAATTATTTCAATGGGCTCAGCTTGGGATATTTCAGAGGAGGAAGTGAAAGACTGGCCACATTTGCTGCTAGGATAATGTGGCAGCACATGATCTTTCATGCTCTTCAGATTTTTCCCAATCAGACTAAGCCATTTCTCACAGGAACTGTGCGGAATGACAAGGTAAGGGAGTTTTCAAGGAGACCAGCAAAGCCCATTTTTCACAATGTCCCAGTGGCCTGTAGTGGAAAGCTCTCTGCAGAGAGTTTTAACGGTCTCTTTTAGCTTGCCCCTCCTTTTCAGTTATAGCACCTCTAGAGGAATCATCTCCTTTAACTTTTTCCTGGTTGCTTCTTCTGATATGATTGCTTTGTCTTGCGTCCTCCTTGGCCCAGAATTGGACAATGCCGCCACACCCCTTCTTTCTTCCATGAGGTAGTGAGACGAGGAAGGCTGGCTAACCTGCTCCTCGTAGGATCGCCTGCCATTTTCTCAAGACCCAAGCAGTTCCAGTCCGTCTCCTAATGTGGCAGCACAAATCTGTGTTCGGCATGCGAGCTGTTGGGGCAATTCCCTGCTAACTCTGTACAGAATTAGCTTGTCCTGCTCTCTTTAGGTGCTAGACCTACATGCATCTTGGCCTTGTGCTGGCTCATTCACGGTTCCTATAATTAGTCTCTCTTTGAAGTAGGCTCTGCTTGGTGTGCACCGCCTTTCTGGTACTGCCGGAGGGTCAAATCGTTTCTTTTGGTGGTGGTGTTGTGAGGTTCCGAGTGACTGCCGAGCAAGTCCCTGAACAACAGAGCCAAACGCCGCCCTGTTCAGTGCCGTCCTCACAATAGTTGTCGTGCTTGAGGCCAGTTTTGCAGCCACCGTGTCAGTCCGCCTGGGTGAGGCACTGATTTCCCCCTTTCCACTGCTCTCTGTCATGGAAGAAGCAAGGTCAGGGTGCTCTTGAGATGCAAGCGTGGCAAGACTACATCTAACGTACTTCGGACATATTGTCAGAGCTACTAGTCCTGGAGAAGGACATCTTGATTGGTAACGTGGAGGGGCGCCCCAAAAGAGGAAGGCCCTGCACGAGATGGAGTGGCACAGTAGGTGCCACAGTGGGCACAGGCAGCGGACCAGTTGTGAGGATGGCGCAGGACCGTGCAGCGTTCGATTCTGTTTGCACAGGGTTACTGTGGGGTCGGAACCAGGTTGATGTTTTCACTGCTACTTCCATGAGTTTTGACTGTGGAGCCAAGTAAAGTGAAATCCTTGACAACTTCAATGTTTTCTCTATTCATTATGAAGTTGCTCAGCATACAAATTACATAAGTACGACGAAAGGGTAATCCTCGCACACTCCTTCGCAGATTTTATACCACTCAGCATCTTCTGCTTCTATCTGAACAGCTGCCTCTTGGTCTAGGCACAGGCTCTACACAATTAAGAATTCCCCTTCTCTGCAATGTTATCCATCATTTATGGTCTACACAGTTGAATGCTTTTTCATAGGCAATAAAACACAGGTAAACAGTGTTGACATTCCCCAAGATCCATCTGACGTCATCACTGGTATACTTCAGGTTACATTCAGAATTTTGATGCTTCCGTGTTGGTTGATGTCTTCTGAGTCAGAGTGGATGAACAAGAGAAAATATAAAATCTCCTTATCAGGACATCTTTTTAAAAAAATCTACACTTTTACCAGTTTGAAATAGTTAGAGGCATAATTAATTACTTCATTCACCTTAGAACTCCAGGATTTTATGATACAAAAATGAAGAAATAATGAAACGCTCATTTGAAGTTTTCTTTATAACTTGTCTGTTAGGTTTGTGAGCCAATCCACATCTTGGTTAAATGTATCAAGATTAGGAAAATGTTGAATGTTTCAAAGCAAGCAGTCATTATTTACATGTAATAAAAATCCCTGTCAGAAGAACATGTTAGAAAGAGCAGATTTCTTTTTAAAATTGTTTTAGAATGAATTTGTAGATATTTCTAAATAGAGAGGGAGAGACCTCAATTTAGATATAAAACATTTTGTGTGAGTGCTTTGTATTCTGTTATTTTCCCCTTTGAAATCATTTCAGATTTTGAATATCTGTCCACCATATATATGCATAAAGACAAGCATAGTTGATTGTCTCATTAATGTTTCTTTTTCTTCTTTTTAAAAATAGGGCCAAATTGTTCTGATTGGAAGCAGCCAATGTACTCCGGATTTGAAAAAGATGTCTTTAAAACGATAGCTGATTACTATGGTCACTTAAAAGAACCTCTGCTTACATTTCATCTCTTTGATGCTTTTGTCAGTGTATTAGGTAAGTTGTAATGAATGCACATTTGTATTATTGATATTGAATCATTTCATTTTTCATTATCTAAAGACTTCCATAAGGAGCCCCAGTGGTGTAGTGGTTAAGGGTTGGGCTGCTCGCGAAAGGTGAGCAGTTGGAAACCAGCAGCTGTTCTGAGGGAGAAGACAGGGTTTTGTACTCCCATAAACAGTGACAGCCTTGCAAACTCACAGGGGCCGTTCTGTTCTGCCCTGTAGGATCACTGTGGGTCAGTATTGAGTCAGTGGCAGTGAGGTGTTTTTTTTGTTTTGTTTTTTGAGAGCGACTTCCATTAGGCCAAGATCATAGCATTTTAAAAATGAAAATGGTTAAGTCATTTTATGAAACTCAAAGCAAGAATCAATAGTTTTTCTTAATTTTTTAAAATTTTTAAAAAATTTTCAAATTTTTTAAAATTTAAAAAATTTTTTAAAATTTTTCAAATTTTTTAAAATTAAAAAAAATTTTAAGCTTCATTTATTCCTGAGTTTTTGCTTCTTCAATTTGTTCTGGGAAATCTTTTTCTTCTGTGCAACCTCCTCTTCTGGGTTTAGGAACAGTGTGTTCCTTTTCAGTCAGGATCATGTCAGTGTGGCAGGGGGAGCTCAGGTATGGACTGATCCGACCTGTAAGTCCTGCGGTGCCTCCAGGGGGCTTTGTTCACCTAGATGTGCTCAATGACCAGAGGATCTACATCTACACCCTTAAGTTCAGCATTACTTTCTGCATTTTTAAGCATGTGAAGCAAAAATTCAGCATTCTTTTTGGGCCACCGACCCTGGGTCCAGCCTGGGCACACCTACCAAGCCACCATCGACATTGTGACGTCGGAAAAGCACACACTGCTTCTGCAGAGTGATATCTTTCAAAGATTTGGTGGCTTTCCAGATGTGCATGCCTTTGATGGCCTGGGCAGTTTCCCGGAGGTTCGACCCTCTTGATTTACAGGATTGTGTGGGGTTTTCTGGGTCAAGAGAGTAGCGAACCACTTTGGCAGGTCACCTCAGGCAACTACCGGAAGAGCTAGTTTTTATTTCCTAAAGAATAATACATTATATTTCATTTGGTACAAAGAAGTATAACTATACTGGTAAGGAAGACTATAAACCTGACATTTGCTGTTCATGATTAAATCTATTCTGGATGTTACTCCATGAATAGTCAAGTGTGGAAGCTTTCTTTTTCATTTGGAAGTCTAACTTTTTAGAAGAAATGGCTTTGTTATTTGCTATTTAAGACTTGCAAAGTAAATAGACTAAAATTACCATTTCCTCAAACCTGCTGCTTCTCCTCACGTAAGTTTCACTTCAGAATTTACACAATCAAGGAAATGATAGAAAAGAAAAAGATCATTATAGCTTCGGTCTTTCTGAAAGGGTTCCTTCTTGGAAATTTGATTTTCTTGTGGATGTTTTAGAGCAATGATCTTTTGATGATGTTTTGATTCAACGATCAAGATTGTTCTTACATTAAAAAAAAAGTTATTTAAAGACCAAATCATTGTATAATAAACATCCTTTGTCATAGTAATTTGATAGAATTAGCATACTTTTGCTTTGCTTTCCTGGAGACCCGGTGGCACAGTGGGTTAAGTTCTGGGCAGCTAATGCAAGGTTGGTGGTTAAAACCCACCAGCCAACCTGGGTTTGTTTTAAGGGAGAAAGATGGGGCAGTTTGTTCCCATAAAGACTTACAACCTCTGTCCTTTAGAGGCACGATGAGGTGGAATTGACTTGGGACAGTGAGTTTTGGGTTCTTTATCCCATGTTTTTACAACTTACCAGCTCAAGTTGAAGCTGAATAAAACTTTAAAAAGTCCTTAAGAGCCAAAGTACGGCTCAAGTATATCCCACCTGAATTTAGGCATCATCCTAGGAATCGACTTAATGCATGGAACACATGACTGGAGGCCAAATGAATTATGGAAAGTCATCGAGGACAATACATGAAGAAAGCAAAAGATCAGAACAGAAACAAGGAAGGGAGAAAAGCAGACAATTCTATGATCTATGATGCCAGGAATGATGGATTGAGAAGCTGTAGTGGCATATGCTTTTGACGAACAGAACATTTCATGATGGGTCCTGAAGTCTCATGCTGTTAGTGATAACTATATGCCTACATGGGAGATCAGTTAGTGAATGTCAGAAGAGACTCTGTACTTGTGTTTGAAGGTAGGTTAGCTAAACCAAATGGTAGAAATTACGTAAAAGAGCTGAACAGAATATTTTGAAGGACAGCACAGAGACGAAGTATTATGAAAAATGTGCAAAGGCTTGGAGCTAGAAAACAGCAAGAAGGTTCTTGGCATTTGTCAAGCTGAAAGCACAGAAGAAAAAAAATTCAATCTCGAGTTGCATAATTGAAGTATTCCACGCAGCAGTATCTTGACAAGGAACTGCCAGAAATAAAGTCAGATTTGGAAGAGGACCTGGAATAAGGGATGTCACAGATGAAGAAGTGAATCTGGCCGACCTGAACTATGATCCCATGTGCTTTGTTGACTAACAACGGCATTTGGAGGTGTGGACGATATCAAATACAAGTAACAATGTGAAGAACGAGAATTTCGGAACACTTGTGTCCATGTAGAACTATACATAGAGCAAGCGGCAGCTGCTCGACCAGTTCAAGGAGATAGTGCACGGCTTACAATTGGGGAAGACGCACATCAGGGTTGTGTCTCCTCACCTTCTTTACTCGGTCTGTATGCCGAGCAAATCACCAGAGAAGCCGGACTAAGGAGCGTGGCTTCTGGATTGGAGGAAGACTTACTAAGAACCAGTGATATGCAGATGAGACAGTTTGCTGGATAAAGTCAAGAGGGCTTGAAACACTAATGAATATTAAAGGCGCCAGCCTTCAGTAAGGATTACAAGTAAAGAAAACAAAATCCTCACAACTGGACCTACATCATGCTAAATGGAAAAAAGATGGAAAATTTCAAAGATTTTATGTTACTTGGATCTGCAATCAATGCTCATGGATGCAGCTGTCAAGAAATGACTGACTGCATTAGTCAAGTCTGCTGCCAAAGACCTCTTTAAAGTGTTAACCTTGCAAAGAGCTCTGTGAACATCTAGCTATGTCTCTCAAGGGTGTGGGGGGAGAAATTAGTGCTGTCTGTTTCGTATTCCAGGCTGATCGTTTGTATGTCCTATCTAGATTTTGTTCATTTTTGAAAGAGTTAATTTTTTTTCATATACTGAGTTTTAAGGGACAGAGAGTCTGTAGTCACTTGGTCCAAATATAGTAGGATATGTGAAAATATTTTTATGCAACTGTAATAATAAATATTTCTTACAATGAGAACATAACAAAACCATGTGAGTTATAGGTTTTAAAATATATCCCCCACCCCACCCCCTTTCTAAATTAGGTTTGTTACAGAAAGAGAAAATGGCTATTGAAGCATTTCAGATTTGCTGCCTCCTCCTGCCGCCTGAGAACAGGAGAAAGTTACAGTTGTTGATGAGGATGATGGCAAGGATCTGTTTGAACAAAGAGATGCCACCACTGTGTGATGGTTTCAGCACGCGAACACTGGTAGGTTGATTCTTAACATCTAATATGACTTTTGGAATGAAATTCAATCCAAGAAAGTTTTATTAGTTTGGATAATCTAGTTTTCTAAACGGTCCAAGGCAGCTTTGCCAAATAGCCCTAGCCTGGAACCCGTCCTGGCTGGTCTTGTGCTTCTGCGCGCCAAGCATTTTAAATAACTCAGTGGAAAAGAGACAACGAGTGGGGGCAGGTCGCCCGCTCACGAGTGGGCATCAAGAACTGTTGACTCCTCTTAGCTCTTCTTGAACTGACACCTTCTGTTAACACAAAAACAGTAGAATGGAAAGATAGGTGGTCTCTCCAGTAAATCATGTTCTCTCTGACTGCAGACGGGCAGCAAAACCATTATTACTGTAACCAGACGGAGAGCTATTACATACTGCATAGACTCGTGTATAAGCCAAGTCTCTCAGCACATTTCCTTTTTTTGTTGGTTGTTTTTTTTAAATCATCTTATTGGGGGTTTGTACAACTCTTATCACAATCCATATATCCATCCATTGTGTCGAGCACATTTTTACATTTGTTGTCCTCATAATTTTTTAAATGCCATTTTTGTGGTAAAATTAGGTGCCTCAGCTGATATTCGGGGCGGCTTATACTCGAGTATATACGGTATATAATGCAGTTGGACTAGACAGCTTGTGAGGATAGAGAGGGAGGCTATTTATCCTTCCAGAGTATAAGAGGGGTTAAGATCCCATAAAAGATGTTATTTCTTAAAGTTTTCTCAAATTTGCTTAAAAATGCCTAGCAATTTTGAATTCTACTTTATAATATGTCAGTGTATATTTTATAATTGGGTTTATGCTTGGAACCATTTACTAGTTAAATTTCCTAATTTCTCTCTGGAAAAGTTGTAAAGCAAAATAATCTTCTGAGAGTATATGTTCTCTGTTGTAGCAAAACACTGTGTACCCTTGGGATATACTGGTTCGAGTTTTAGAAGCGTAGCCTATGATCAGAAGGTCACTAAGTTCCTAATAAGAGTGATTCATGACCTCTGTGTTTGTGTGTGTGTGTGAATATATTATTGAGCTTTAGATAATTAGTTTTTAAATTAAAAAATCATATGTAAATTATATTAGGACTTTAGAGGCAGTCCCCACATCTCTCTTGCTTTCTTATCTTTGGTCTTCTGTAAATGGTTCCCTTTGGGTCTGTTGTATAGTTAGTGGACTATTCTCAGGAACACATTCTTCATGGAAGGTGGCCTCCAGAAGGATGTTCAGTTTCACGTTAGAAAGTTTGTCTTAGGGCAAAAGCCTTGATGGTTGCTCCCACCTCTTTCAGACTAGTCAGACTGGACTTTTTGTTCTGTTTTAATTTAGTATTTTGTTCTACATGTTTTTTTCATCATTGTAATCTGGACCTTCGATTATGGTCCTGTTCAGAATGATTGGTACTGGTCGCGGGGTACCATCTTGTTGTTCTTGTCTTAGATTAGAGGAGGCTGTAGTTTATGTGGACTGATTGCTTCTTTGAATCTTTAATTTTTTTTCTTTTTTTGCTTAGTTGGGGAGGGAACAATAATTGCTTCTTAGGTGACCATCCAAAAGCTTTCAGGACCTCAAATGCTACTCACCAGGCTAGGATGTAGAACATTATCTTTCTGTGCTGGGACCTAGATGTCCTCTAAGATTATTACCCTAAGTTTCAAGTCCAGCAATTCAGTGCCAGTACCAAAATAATGTCTATAACTATGCCCTGTATGTGTTCTAATATATATGAGTATACATAGAACATTTACAAAGATGGGAGAAAAATCTACAACTAAAACTCTATGTAGGAGTCCTGTTGGCCCAGGGGTTACACACTGGGTTGTGATCCACAAAGTCTGAAGTCTGAAACCACCAGGAGAAAGATGGGGCTTTCTACTTCAGTAAACAGTTAGTCTCAGAAACTGAAAGGGGCAGTTCTACCTTGTCCTAAAGGGTCAGTGTGAGTCGGCATCAACTTGATTGCAGTGAGGTTTGTGTGTGTGTGTGTGTGTGTGTGCTTATATGTATATGGATGTACTTCTATATGACTTCCCTCATCTGTTTAGCATACATATTTACCTATGTATCTACTTTCAAATACGTGTTTGTTGTTACAGTGGTTGCAGCATGTACCACAGTTGGCCATTGTTCTTGGCATACGTTTCAATGTCTTCCTTTGCTTGATGATGCTGTGCTAACTTTTTGCATGTGGTGTATTGCCTTTTCTTCACCAGAATTAATGCCTCTGTGCTATGTAGTTAAAGAAAATAACAGTTAATGAGGCAAGGGCAGGGAAGCAACAGTTTAGACATGCAGTAGTGAAATTAGGATAACATGGCCATAAAGTACTTTGCACTTAAAAGTTCTATGTGATTCAAGTCATGGAGTCATCGTAATTGTCAGAACTTGTTAATATTTCAAATTGTTCATAAAAAGGTACTCTTTGAGAACTTCTTAGACAAGTATCTCTACTAACTCCTTAAGGTGAGACATTTTGTTCATGCTGGTTTTTGACAAGGTCAGTTTATCTGAGGTGGCCTTGCTCCTTGCACTATTTCTCACCAACTAGCCAAGGTTGCTTTTTGCAAATTATATTATAATCAATTCAGAGTTCAGAGTGAAAAGGTAAACTCACTTGGAATTAATTAACTCTTCTTCTTTTTTTAGCTGGTGCAGACGTTTTCCCGTTGCATCTTGTGTTCCAAGGATGAAGTAGACTTGGATGAGTTATTAGCCGCTAGGTTGGTGACCTTTCTGATGGACAATTACCAGGATATTCTGAAAGTTCCTGTGGCCTTGCAGACCTCTATAGAGGAGCGTGTGGCCCACCTACGGAGAGTTCAGGTAAAGGAAAGGCTATTTATTACCCATCTTAGGCAATTGGCTGAGGGAAGTCACCTCACCTGGGAAGGCTCCTTGGGACTTTTGATTTACGGATTAGTGATTTAATATACAGGAAATCCTTATACCAGAGCATGGTACTAAGATGTGCTTGCTATTGCTTATGTTGATCAGTACTGTATACTTTCAATACTGTTACAAAATTCTTAAATGAGTTTGTTCAGAACCCCCATATAATCATTGATGGAAATGATTTGTATGTACTAAATACCTTGATTCTTACATAGTACACCTGGGACTTAGGTCCTGTTGTTGCTGAATTGATCTCAATGGGCACCCTCTGTGTTCCGGAGTCGAACAGTTCCATAGGGTTTTCTTGGCTCTGATCTTCATAGAAGAAGATGGGCATGCCTTTCCTTTCGCAGTTCCACTGGGGGGGGGGGTGTTGAAATGCCAGCTTTTAGGTTACCAGTTGAGTGCAAACCATTTGTGTCACCTGGGGATGAGCAGTTGGGATATGTGAGCTTGTGGCTAGAAACAGCACCAGAGATCACATAATAGAATTTCTGCATGATCTGTGATTTATTCACTTAAAATACCTTTGTCAACAACAGCTAGCGTAGCTATACACATGGGCCTTAGGAGAGAGAACAGAAAGGAATCAAATAAAGACAAAACGTGTGGGAAGATAAGATGGAGAAGATCCGTATCATCAGTCAGAACAAGACCGAGGCCAAGGCCCAACTATGGAATAGGCCACTATATTAGTAGTTCCCGTGAAAGCAAACTCTGAAAGCTGATGAAAATTAAAACAAGTCCACATGAGCCAAAGTATGATGCTGAGTATATTATCCACCTGAATTTGGAGACCATCTCAGAGTAGATTTGATGCATTGAATACTAATAACTGGAGACCAGACAAGTTGAACGATGACATCAAGGACATCATTTGTGCAGAATGCAAAAGGTTATGAAAATGAGAGGAAATAAAATACAAAAAAGGATGTCAAAGGAGGCTCTGAAACTTGCTTTTGAACATAGAGTGGCACAACCAAATGGAAGAAGCAAGCTGAAAGGAAAATGACAAAGGGTTAGCTCAAAAACACAAAGTATTGTAATGAACTATGAAAAGACCTGAAGTTAGAAGGAAGAACACACTCAGCCGATCACAAGCTGAAAGAAAAAAATTCAAGACTTGAGTGGAAAGATTGAAGGATTCCATGGGAAAAATATTGCATGATGCAATGATTATTGGAAGAAGATAGAATCCACAGTCACTACACCCAAAATAATTGGTTGACATTCAGCCATTTCAGGAGTATCATATAATCAAGAACTAATGTTATTTTAGAAAGACCTCCAACCTGCATAGAAGGTATTGGTGGAAAACAGGACTCTGAAAGTGGACAGAATACTAATTTATATGTTTCACCTAGGAGATGCAATGCTGGAAGCACTCGTTTGTCTATGCCAAGAAATTTAGAAGATGGCCACTGGGCCAGCTGACTGGAAGGGATCCATATTTTCCCCCTTTCCAATGAAATGTGATCAACAGCATGCAGATATTATCAAATGATATCATTAAGATCGCATACAAATAGCATTTTGCCAAAGATAACTGAAAAATGGTTGCAGCAACACATTCAACAGGGAGCTGCCAGAAGTTCAAGCTGGATTCAGACGAGGATCTGGAAGGAAAGGGGTCATTGCTGACACAGAGGGCTCTTGGCTGAAAGCAGAGAAGACCAGAAAGATAGTAACTTGGGTTTTATTGGTTTTCACTATGAATATGCTTGGAAATGATCGCCATACCCCACGCTACCTAACGGCTCAGCTCGCTGGTGCCTTTGCCCCCACCCCTAAGGGTAGGAGGTTCAGACAGCAGAGAGGGAGGAGCCAGGTGTGTGTTCCACAGCGCAACGCCTGGACTGTTCCAGTCCTGATGCTGGAACCCAAGTGAATACTGAGGTTCAAATTTCATATGGTAGTAGAAGAGGACACAGAATTTTTGTTCATGAAAATAGATAAGGAATTTAGAAAGGCAAATATGTCGTATTAAAACTGTAGCTTGAAATGATGAAATGTCGTGGTTTTGGAAACACTTATTTTCCAAGATAAATTTGAGATATTCAGGCATTTGATCAGAACTAATTTTGGGAGCTAATGCAAAAATGAAAAATACACAATTTCTTTTCACTCCTAATCCCCTTTCCTCAGATAAAATATCCAGGAGCTGATATGGATATCACTTTATCTGCCCCATCCTTTTGCCGCCAAATCAGTCCCGAGGAATTTGAATACCAAAGAGCATACGGCTCTCAGGAACCCCTGGCGGCTTTGCTGGAGGAAGTCATAACAGATGCCAAGCTCTCCACCAAAGAGAAGAAGAAAAAGCTGAAGCAGGTAAAAAAGGAGTGAAAACCCTCCCTGCCATCAAGTCGATGCCGACCCCCAGTGACCCTGGAGGTGGGGGGAGAACTGCCCTGTGGGTAGAAAGCCCCATCTGTCTCCTGCAGAGGCTTTCTGCTCCCATGAACTGGGCTTCTAGTCTTTTTGTTGTTGAGAAGTTCTTGATATATTCGGAATATTAAAACCTTATCAGATAGATGAATTGCACGTGTCCTTTCCCATTCTGTGCATTGCTTTTCCCATTCCTGATGTGCACAGAGACACAGAGACTTTCCATTTTCAGAGAGTCTCACTGCTGCTGCTGCTGCTTGCGTTCTGGTGTCGTATCTGAGTCCATCATCACGAACAAGGTCCTGAAGATTTACTCCGACATTTTCTTCTAGGAGTTTTGTGATCTTCACTCTTTAGCGTGTGGATCCATTTTGTGTTGATTTTTATATCTGGTGTGAGGCAATGGGGCAACTCCTTATTTTATGTCAACATCTGATTATCCCAGCACCATTTGTTGAAGAAACTGTATTCTTTCCTGTAATGAATGCTAGTCATGCTAGTTTTGAAAAGTATATGATTTCATTTATATATTTTAGAAGTCACATTGATTTATACAGTTGTGATCAATTTTCCAGATTTTTTGTGTCCACTGAAGATCTCTTATGAATATTAAATGCTTCATTGGTTGACTTATTCTCTAATACTTGTCTGTTTTATAATGTGTGGCACCATGGTAGTGGGTCAATTATTTTAGAGTTGGAGAGTCTATCAAATGAGGCCAAGTGTCTTTTGATTTCTTTGATTGGCAAGTAATATTGATTATTTTCAGAAGTAAAATTGTCTAGCATTTAAAAGCCACTGATAGCAAATATCAAATTGACTTCTCATTTTAGGCATTATAAAAAGTTTTTAGTTTTTATTCCATAAGGAAAAACAGCATAAACATTCCAATGAATAATTTTCAGCTCAGAATAAAACAACTTATTTGATCATTCTTAAAGTATTGATCAAAGACTGGATAATTATTTTAAAGACGAAATTCTACATAGTGTGATTCCTGATCACACTGAAAATATACATATTACATATATATTTATGTGTATGTGTAAATATGTGAGAGAGCTTCATGGGGAAAATGGAATTGAAAGTTGATGCAATTTTTCCATGATATTTTCAATATATATATATATATCAAGTCTAATATATATATTAGACTCCCAGTCATATTTTTCTCAAAGTAATTTTGGAGATAAATTTAGTAGTATGGATTAGAGGAAAAATAAAGTACCTCTCTTGTGACATTTCATAAAGTAATGTGTATCAGAAAGTTGTCTTTTCCATCTGGACAGAAGCTGGTAGGACCGAGTTAGAGAAACAGTGATTGTAGTTGGACCTAGATTTTCCTTAGTTATATAGAACAGTAAGTTAATTTCAAGTAAGTTACTTATAAATCGAGGCCCATTTATATTTGGCAATGGGTAACATTTTCAGAAATATTAAAAGGCGCCCATCTTTACAGATGGGCCACATTGAAGATGAATTTGGTCAATAGGAAGTAGACTTAAATGATTTAACTAAAGAAATGGATTTGTGTTGATGGGAATTTGATTGGGTCCTCTTGTTCTTATCTGTCCTATTTTTCTGTTGCAAAACTATACACGTTAAAACAGAACACATTCAGCGTATGGGAAAGTTAGAATTGGCTATCCCCTTGTTTTATTAGTGTCCTGTTTTGTCTTTTTGACTCGCTTAGACCCTTTTTCCTCCCAGTTTCAGAAATCCTATCCTGAAGTCTACCAGCAACGGTTTCCTACACCAGAAAGTGAAACACTTCTGTTTCCGGAGAAAAACAGACCAAGACCACAGCTGCTCGTGTGGGCATTCAAAAAGCCTTTCCAACCCTTTCAAAGAACTCGAAGCTTTCGGATGTAATCCTTCCACGCCTGTGGAGACCTCTGTTGGAGTGAATGGATAGTTAAGGAAGGACTGTGATGGTGGAAGAAAGACTTGCTTAGGATATAGACTACTGAAATATATAAGAATAAAAGATAATCAGACTTATAAAATGCATCGAGCCATTATCAGTATTTTTATAAAATGATACTATTTTAAGAGTGTACAAAACAATGAAAAATTATGGGTCGAGTGTCTGATGACAGTGTTAAGATGTTTGTAATTACTAGAAAATTCAAGATAATGTATATTTGTCTTGTTATTTTTCATGGTGTTTATGAAAGTAATTGTGGTTGTATATTCTTGTTACTAATTTTTGGCTTAAAAGTAGTGTATATACTTGAATGAGAAATACACTGGGTTCTGTTACTGTGATGCTGTTGACTTAATAGCCAGATGTGATTTCACTTGTCACCTCTGTCCTACATTGCTGCACAAAGGTTCTCAGTGCCCTGGGTTGGGTTGTGAATGGCTGAATTCTTGTTTTTGAATTGCAAACAGGCTAGTTTTGGTCTGACCAGATTTCCTAAAGCTGGCTCTCTCGTAACCTGTGCTTGAGTGGATTTTGTACGTGCCCGAAGTGGACTGCTCTCAGACTTGGCAAAAGAGGCAAAGGTGAACTTTATGATAAATCCTCTGTGTGCTCTAAGTCAAATCTTTGTTGGGTTAAAGAAAATAAGATTATTACTCTTTAAACGTGTATTTTTTCCCCAGCTTCCTCACCCTTCTGAAAGTAAATGGAATGTAAGTAAAATAGTTTTCTGTTCTTTTGTTTAAATGCCATATCTGCAGGGTGGTTGGTTGGTTTTGGAGGGGCACACAGGTAGGTTAGAGAGCATCCTCCAGTGTTAAACATCCTTGCTTTTGCTGCGCTCGCTTTCCGCAATCAACTAAGCAGTGGGATTTGGACTTTTGTGCTAAGCTATAGGAGGGCGCTTTGCCTTTCTTGCGCCTTGCCTCACCCTTTTATAAAATAATAGTGTGCTTGGATTATGGAACACCTGGATGGCTTCTTTTAAGAGCAATTACCCAAAAAGCAAGGAGCAGCACTCACTAATTGGCCTGCTGTACTTTCTGGACTGATTTTTCTTTGCAATTGGGACCTGCCCCTCTCTCTTTGTAATAGCATGCTTCCGACAGCTGAGTATAATTTTGCTGATTTAAAAACCATGCTGTTGGGGGCTGGTTTAAACCAACAAAAAAAACTTGCTAGGCACCACTTTACTATCTAAACATAAATGTTTGTAATCTAATGGGAGATTTTACTGTTTCAAGATTTCTTGTTATACTTGGTCTTCTGGATAGTGCAGAGAATAGCTTTCTTGTTATACTTGGTCTTCTGGATAGTGCAGAGAATAGCTCTACCTTCTGGAGGATTTGCCCACCAATGGATCTTCTCCTATTTCTTAACTTTGGAAGTAGATGTGATTTGTTTTCTTCTTTTGCCCAACGATTACACTTTTCTTATGAACTGTCTCATACTATGCCATGCTTAAAATAGTAATGCCTCCTACATGGCAGTGTCGTGGGTTACAAGTTTGGCTACTAACCGCAAGGTTAGCATTTTGAAACCACCCTGGGAGGAAGATGAGGTTTTCCACCCCTGTCCAGAGCTGCTGTTGGGGAAACCCTGCCCTGTAGGGTCCCTAAGAATCAGCATCAGCTCGATGCTGAGTTTAATTTTGGTTTAAATGTGAAATTGATGACTAGATAATTTCAAAGAATATTCCAAATTGTACCAATTAATATGTTCATTAAAACTATGAATTTACTTTGTTTAAACCCTACCCTAAATTTGGTATTGTCAGAGCTTGAACTATTGTCAGTCTGGCACGGGCCTAATGAAGAGTACCTCAGTAAGGCTTTAGCATGCATTCCCCTCCTGATTATTGAAGTGGTTGAATGTATACTTTTTGAAATTTTACTTAAATTTTAGTATTAGTTTGCATGCTACCCACACATTGAGATTTTTATTCTGGTTGTATTAAATCTATAAATTTGGAGAGAATTATTATCTTTATAATATTAAGTTTTCAGTTAATTATCATGGTCATCCTTCCACTTATTTAAAATTAATAAGGAAAAAAATAAAAGTTTTTTTTAATCATCTTATTGGGGGCTCGTACAATTCTTATCACAATCCACACATACTTCCATTGTGTCGAGCACATTTGTACGTTTGTTGCCATCATCATTCTCAAAACATT